AATATCACAAGTCCAAATTTAGTCTTTTGGCCCCAACTTAACTGCTGGGGAATTTATGCAGTTTAGTTTTACTGTGTCAGGAAAGGACAAATAACATGGGATTTGCTAGACACTTTCCCTTTTATGCCACTTTCCCTTCGCTGGTTTGATTCCTGACTCATTTGTCCTGTTTTAATAATAGTCTTCGCATTCTCCTGCTTTTCGAGTTCGGCACCTTCAAAGTTCTTGTTCTCGTCCTTCATAATTTTTTAACTACATTTGATTGATTTGTCACTAATTTATATGACATAACTTTGGGAGGATGACTTCACACCTCCATATGTGCCCATACCTCACTCACATTCCACCAAAGCTTCAGTACCACAGTACTGTCCCCTCCCCCATTCTCTCTGGTAATGTATATTATTCAGAGTCTAAGAATTATTCTTACTGTTTTGCTGGTTTGTTCTCTGATTATATTTATTTCACAAATTAGTGTGCCCATCCATAACTTTCTTCCATTTTCTGACTTATTTCACCTAGCATAATTACCTCAAGGCGCCTATCCATTTTTTCTTTTCTTTTTTTAAAAAAAGGTTTATTTTATTTATGTCTGCAAGAGCTGGGATGGAGGCCAGAGGTGTGTATGGGGGGCTGGAGGGATTGAGAGGATTCAACAGAGACAGCGTGGGGAGCAGAACAGGCAGATCTAGTGAAATGCACTATTGAGGGGGTTAGTGGGTGAGACCGGAGAGGTCTGCTGTACTGTGTGGGTCAGCTCCCTGCCTGGGGATTGAACCTGTGTTGCACTGGTTGCTGATAACCTCACAGTGCTAAGACTTAACCCCTTGTGCCACCAGGAAGGCCTCAAGACCCATCCATTTTGTCCCAAAAGCCATAATTTTATTTTTTTAATAGAATGAGTAGAATTCCACTGAAGATATATTCTATATATATATATATATATATATATATATATTTAGAATTGTAGTCTGCTATTGATGACTGCATCCAGTCATCTGTCAATGAAGTTCTGGGTTGGGTCTAGTCTTTGTTATTGTGAATAATGCACCTTTGAACATAGAGGTGTGTGTAAATCTTCTCATATTAGGGTTTTCATACTCTGGTAAATACCTAGCTGTGGTATTGCTGGTCATATGGTATTTCCAATATTTTATTCTGAGGAGTTTCCATTCTGTTTTCCAGAGAAGTTGCAGCAAATTGCATTCCCAACCACAGTGGATGAATTTTCCTTTTTTACTATATCCTCACCATGTATTAATGTAGGCCATTTTCAAAAGAGGTGAGGTCTGTCATGTTTTGAAGAAAATCGCATTCAATATGATTCTAGAGTTCATTTCCTTTTTACCGCCTATATAGTGCTGATTCACCATGAAGTTACACAATGGGTGGGTTCAAGAGCAGTTTCTTTTTTCAGTTTTTTCCCTTTGATTTGAACTTCCATCCTACATTTATTCCTTCTCTTCCAAGGGTCACCCCTTTCCATGAGATAACCAGCACAAGAAACATGGGAATGAATAGCTGTGGGGTATGCTTATCCTCTAGCTAAATGGTTAGTAAAAGGATGTTTATCCCAGATCATAGACTGTTTAGAAACTCCCTTCTATCAGTTCCACAAAAGGTGACTCCTCAGAACCAAACACCCAGTTGGCTGATCAACAAAGTAAAACAACAGTTTATGCTTGGGACCACAATGGCTAAATACATCAGTGCTGACAAGTCAGAACATTCCATTCTGTTAGGAAATGGCAGAGAGCAGAGGTGGAGGAGAAGCCTGGAAGAGTATTTGTAAGCAGAGATCATCAGACCACTCATCTTCAGGCACACAGAGATCTCGATTAGACCTTCTTTTTCTGCTGGATTGGGTTGGAGATCAACCACTGCACAATTAACTCTTCAATTCTTCCTTCCCAGTATTGCCTATTATTTCAAGACATTTATAGTTAACTAGATGACATTTCAGTAGCTATTGATTTATTTGGAGGAAGATTACAAATAATATTTTAGGATGAGATGACTAATCTCATATAATTGTACTGATTAACTGAAACTGCTTAATTCCAGTTTCTGAAAGTTGCATTCTTCGCCATGGCTTCTAGCACATGCTGTTGGTTTGGAATACAGTAGATGTTGGTAGATGGCTGCTCAATCAGTAATGCTGATTAAAGGCTTACTGTTTGCTAAGCATCATGCAGGTGCTAGGGATGCAGTGATGAGTGACAAATGCTTTTAAGGGTGGGATTGCCACTGTCAGGCAGCAGGAAAGGATGGAGCAGTGGGGGAGCGTGCTATTTCTGGGAGGTTTAAGAATGGATGGCCTGGTGATTGCGAACACATGTCCATTCATTGTCTCTCACTGGCTCTTAGAAAAATAGCTGTTTTTCTGCTTTAGTGTGCTCACACGTAGGAGATACTAGAAAAAGAAGTGCTTGTGGTGGTGGTATACTCTATAAAAGGGAAGCAGGATAATTAAAGCACCCTTTATTAGATTTGGTGATTAATGGTTAGAATGCTATTTTCTGCCTTTGTAATTACAAGCAAAAGTAGTGGTCTAAAATAACTTTGTTTTCAGCTCCTAGCCATGCTCCAGTGGTTGCATGGTTAAGAATTTTGAAAATAATGAATCACCTGTAGAGAAAGGTAATTAGAATGCAGTTAGTGAAACCTCTGCCTCTCGGTGTTCTGAAGCATTCCTCAGAGAAATGTTTCCATCAACAGCACTATTTATGTATCTTTACAGTGCTGGTGGTTGACTCAATTAACTAGAAATGAAAGAAGTTTTTTGGCTCTGTCAGGTACTCCCAATTATACATCAGTAGAACTAAGAATTTGCCGTTGCCTTTTCTGATTTAGATTTTTCAAAGGGAATGAAAAGACATACCATGATTAGCTTCAGATATAGAACTGTGAATAGCTACACACTTGATTAGAAATTTTAGTCAAGAAACCCATCCAAGGTACAGACATCTGCTTTATTGCTGTATTGCCAAGAGTGACCTTCAGCTTATGCAGGAAGCCCGCTGGCTACACAGGTGTCCCTCACCCTCCCGATGGATGCTCAGCCTCCTGGCCCTGCTCACTGGGTCGTTTCAGAACTGCCTCAAGTGCAGCTCTCAAATGATGCCAAATCATCAAGTCTTCTATGAGTTCTGCTAAAGAAGTAGTATTTAGGTTTCCTAACAAGAAAACCTACTAGGCAAAATTGTTGAAAATAGGATATCAGAGCAAGAAGGGCCCTGAGGAATCTTCTGCCCTGGCCCTCCCTTTTCAAGAAGAAATGGAGATCTAAATTTAGGGCGTTTATCTGGCTCTTAGTAGATCCTCTGTTGTCCCTCAATTATCATTGGGATTAAAGAAGGTGCTACTTTTATAGTCCCTAGAACTGCCCCTGGGATACAGTAAGTGTTCTGTAAAGTGAGCTATTTCTAGTCGCAGAACCCAAGGAGGAACCTGGACATCCTCACAGCCCAGTGTTCTTTCAGAGCCATGAATTTTATATTGCCCACATTGGACAGGAGAAATGTGTTTACGGAAGTTTAGTTAAAAACAGGGGCCTCCCTGGTGGCTTTGGGGTAAAGGCTCGGCTCTATCATCTCTATGGCCTGAGTTCTATTTCCCCTGAGTTTGATTCCTGGCCAGCAACCCACATGGTGCAGCAGACCTCTCCTGTCTTGCCTACTGTTCCCCTCAGCATTGCATTTCAGTAGATCCCCCCCTATTCTACCCCCTGTTCTGTCTCTGGTGAATCCTCTTACCCCCTGTACCTCTGGCCTACCCCAGTTCTTAAATCAATTAATCAATCTTAATATAATAGGGTTAGCCTCAGTGTTCCTATGACTGAGCACTTATTGATGCTGAGTTCTGGGCTAAGCAGCATATAGCTGTGGTGCCATTTAGATCTTCAGGGCTCTCCATGTCCTCCAGAGTCACACCCTTTAGTATCTCCACTGGACTCTTGTAAAGGCCAAGCTGATCACACACTAGTCACAATGCTTATATGGGGCATGGCTGGGGTTTGAATCTTCCTCTTCGGTCTGAGTTCAGAGTCTATATTCTTTTTTTTTTTTTAAAGATGGATTTATTTATGCATACAGAAACTAGAGTATAGGCCAGAGAGTACAGGGGGTGAGAAGATTCACTAGACAGAGTGGGGAAAAGAACAGGCAGATCTACTGAAATACACTGCTGAGGGGAGCAGGAGAGGTCTGCTTTATCATGTGGGTCAGCTCCCTGCTGGGGATCAAACTGCAGTGGTTGTCAATAACTTCATAGTGCTCTGTCTTTAACCCCTGCACCACCAGGGAGGCCCTAGTGTCTATATTATCAACCATTAGTTTATTTCTGGAACTGGCAAATCTGGCCATACTTGAATTTTTATAGTCTTCCAGCAAGGAATATATATATATATATATAGGCCTTTTCAAATGGTCATAAAAAAAGAAGAGTGAGAAAGTAATGTCATGGTATATAGATATTATGTGGAATTCAAATATCAGTGTTCATAAATGAAGTTTATTGAACATAGTCCTTTGTTGATGGGTTGTCTGGGCCTGGCTTTGTGCTACATGGAGTGGAGAGAGTTGTGATAGAGATCATATGGCCCGGAAGGCCTAAAATATTTATTATCTGGCCTTTGCTTTTTGTTCTTCCCCTGTGATTTTGTTTTCTGATTCTAATTATTTAGAGCATAATTGTGGGATTTTCGTAAGGCCCGTTTCCTGTTACTTGACTTTTTAGTTTATTCCATGTGAATTAACATGTCAATCAAATGATAGTGTGCATGAAAGGAGTTCTCTAGATTTAGCTATGGTTTGCCTTTTTTAATAGATTGAGCAATGGTTTGTAACTGGGTAGCAATGGAGTCCTTGCTACTCACCTGTCTTCACTTGCTGTGGTTGGCATCTGTGGTTTACATGCTTTCACATCCACTTATTTTGCTGATTAATTTTAAACTTCAGCGTGTTAGCTGCTGAGCTCACTCTGTTTTCTCTCCTTTGCAGTGGTTTGCTATCTTCTGATTATGTGGAGATTCACTACGAAAATGGGAAGCCACAGTATTCTAAGGTACAGTTAATAGTGGATGGAAATCCTGTTGTGTAAATATAATTATCATAGAACTGCTCAATGCACACTACATTGTTTTGATACCTTTCTCAATAAAATCACCTGTTCTCCTATAGGAAGGTCTATTTTTAAATTTAAGAGATGAAAGAGTCTGTGTGTGCCAGTTAGTGGAGAAGTGTTTCCTTTTTGGTTCCCCATGCAATGTCTCATGTCAGCAAGAGTTATATGGTATAAGGAGCTAGACCACTACATAGTAGCACCTTAAAGTAGTAGATAGCCAAATTCATGGTTACAGAATCTGAGCTATAAGCCTGTATGGGTATTAGAATGAATATATAGGCAAGTGACTTTTGTATCTTAGAAGGGCAGAAGACCAGAGGGAGAGGGAGACTTGGGGATCACATTCCTTCTTAGTCTTCACAACAGTTCCTTATAGTGGGATTCTTTCTGTTGTGCAAAAGAAGAAATTGAGGTGGAGAGCCAAATAACCTGCCCCAGGTCACCACGTTTGACAACATAGACTGAATACTTGTTTCCCTTCAGGTAAAGGGGAACTTTTGTTCCCTTCCTAGAAGAACATTGCCACATGGGTTCAGATTAAGACAAGAGAAAGATGGAATAGCTGTATTTAAGGTGCTAATTTGTAGAAGGTCACAGAATGTAACTGTGTATAGTCACTGTCCAGGGATACCAAGGGCATGGAAGAAGAAAAGACAAACACAGCAAAGTAAGGAAATATTATTGGCTTCCCCCACCTTTATTTGCTAATGAGCATCAGCACTAAAGTGGGCTGGGAGCCTTGCAGGGTTGCACAGTCTGAAGAACTGGGGTTTTCAGACTGATAGACTATCAGCAAAGACGGTAGCCTAATCATGAATACTGGTCTTAGGATTTATAGTTCTCTGTTTGCAGTGGGTACATTGGTTATTTGGGATGTGTCCCAACGTTTTGAATTTTATGCCATGGATTAAGAACTTCCATACATTATTCTTACTATCCTGTCAGCTCTTACCTTGGGCTGCAACTTGGGAGTTGTTGAATCTCCCTGAAAGTTAATGCTGTGGAAAGTGAGCAGAAATGCTAAATCAAACACAGTTAAGGTGCTTCCTGGCGTTTGTACAGCCCAAAGCTCCTGTCAGCTGTGCCAACACTGCGGATGCTGAATCATGACTCTGGATAGGGAAAGCTTCGAGAACTATAGACTCAGCAAATGAGCCGCCTTTGTAGGCCAGGGCAACCTGATCCAAACTTCTCACTAAGAAGTTCAGTGTTCTTTTTTTAGAAGCAGAATAGCTAATTGGCCTCCAGAGGTCACTTGAGGTCCCCAAAGGAGGAGGCCTTATCTGTAAGATACAACAAATCATGTATCAGTTGTAATTACAATTTATATCATATTTCGACTCTAGCAAGAAAAGTGTTTATTGTAGTTTGTTTTCATGTTTGTGTTTTATTCATGACCCATTTTCTTCAAAATAGTTCATATACCCAAACATTTGCTTCATATATAATGAATTCATGGTAATAGTATGTTTTAATGTGTCTCTGTCTATGTATGTAGATATATAGATAAATACCTACAACTCAGGTGATATTGTGACTATTACCTTACTGCTGGGTTTTCTTCCCCATAGGAATAATATAAATTCTTTATCATGCATTAAAAAATCTTCCAAACTTTTATTTTTAAAAAAAAGTATAATATTATCTCTAACTTATCTGCTATAATTGTTTAAAAATCCATAGTAACAGACATCTAGATTGTTTCTAGTCTTTTACTACATCCAGATAACTCTAAGGAAAGGTCTTCCCAGTATATCTCGGACATGTCTTTAGTCATTGCTTAAGGATTAATTTTGATAATGGGATTTTTGGGTCAGAGAGTACATTTTTCTAAGGCTTTTGGCACATATTTAGAATTTTTCTTCCTAAAACATTGTCCAAATTCAATCCTCCCATGAAGTACCATTACCTATATGTTTTTAAAAGCATTTAAAAATATTTCATATTATCTTCCATTTTGTTTAGGAAAATCTTTGTATAGAGTACCAGAAAAATAAATTAATATGTGAGATGGCTAGGTTTTAAGTGCTTTAAGTAAAGAAGATATGATATATATGTATATATACACACACACAATGGGATACTATTCAGTTATAGAAAATGATGAAATCTTGCCATTTGCAACAATATGGAGAAACCCCAAGAAGTATATGCTAAGCAAAATAGATCAGAAGGAGGAAGACAAATATTAGATGATTTTACCTATATGTTGAATATAAAGAACAGACAAAAGAAACCAAAGTGAACTCTGGAAATCTCACTGCAGAATGAAAGCTACCAAAGAGGGAGGAAGAAGCAGAGTGGGCTATGGTGGAGGATAATTGTGGCTTTCAAATAACACATTGTGTGTTGGTGTCACATGCATTGTAGAGGCATCTTACCATATCTCTAACACTAAATCATAGACGGTGTTTTAGATCAGCATTACCTCTATAAACATTTAAGTAAGGTTAAGTAAGGCCGTGCAGTGCAACCTTTCCTTCAAAGATCTCAAATTATTTAGACAAAAGCATATACCCACAACATACACTACTATTCAGTGTAGTAGTCTAGAAAAGAACCATTAAGAACCTATTTGACTCTGACGTTAAATATAACTATAGACATTGAAAGTATTTTGAGAATTAGTTCCAAGCTAAATAATGAATCCACAATTTGAAAAAGGTTGTTTTGTTTTTCTCACTTTATGGTTGCCAAACTCCTGTCTAGTTCCTGTTTCTAGCTAAGAAGAGGCTGTTGTCTTGGGCTTCAACTTTTTTTTAAGTTCAAGTGACATTGGTTTACATCATTGTTTGTGGATTAAAAACATAGGCTATAATTTTTATTGGATGAAAGCTTATTAAAAGTGCTTCTTTTCCTCTAAAGCAAATACAGACTTGGAGAGGTCGGCACATTAAGCACCTGGAAGAACTTTTGTCCTGTACCTGTCAGAACATTAGCTTTTGTTAGAATTTCTAGCACTTCTAGCACAATGGTTTGCATATAATATACCGTAAGACAACTTTGTTGATTGACATTGATTCTATTAAAAATAAGTTTTTATTATTTCAATTCTTATCGAAGAACTGGGCATCAAAATACAGTCTAAAAGTAATTTTCAAATTTGATATCTTTTTAGTAAATCATTTAGGTGAACCATTATCTTTAAATGCTTACTAGCATGTTGGCTTCTCCTCTGCTTTTGAAAATGGTCACGTGGCCAGCAGCATAAGACTGACTAGGCAGATGTAGTCTCCTCTCCCAATTTCCCTTTGCTTTTTTACTCTTTGTTATACTGTGTGGGGAAAATCATTCCAGGCTCTATTTTCTTACTTTGTCTACTACTTCCTGTCCCCTGCTCACTCTTGTCCAAGGAGGGATTTAGATGTGTGTGTGTAGTTCTTTCTCCCCTTTTTTTTGTGAGATCTACCTCCAGATGATCACCTTCTAGGAAGCTGTGAGTTCACCTTCTAGGAAGAACACATCCGCTCTCCTTCTCCAGGCACTAAGTTGTGTGGTAGCAATGTGTGTGTGTGTGTGCACACCCTGGGGGTATTGGTTGTCCCATGTTTCTGTATCTGGTTGGGTAAGACTGGCTAACTCAGGAGTGTAGCTTTAGTAGACCAATTGGATTCTCAGCTAATCTTTGCCTCCATGATGGCACTTTGAAATGAAGGTGATGTTCTTGATCTCTGTTTCAGTCTTGTCATTTTCTCATTTGGTTTTAAACTCGGGTGAGTACTGATTAACACTGTCTAGGATGACTATAATAAAAAAAGACAGACAATAACAAAAGTGCTGGCAAATATGTGGAAAACTAAAACTGTCATACATGACTGATAAGGATGCAAAATGGTGGAGCTGCTTTGGAAAATAGCTTGGCAGTTCCTCAAAATGTTAAGAAGAAAGTTATCCTATGACTCAGTGATTCTGACTCAGTATATATCCAAGTGAAATGAAAACATATGTCTAGGCAAAAGCATATATGGATATTCAAAGTAATATTATTCATAATAACAATAAGTGGGAACAATCCAAGTGTCTATCAGTTGATGAATACATAAATGTGAAAGAGCTTCACATTTATGTATTAAGCCTTAGAAAGAACAGTGATTTACATATAATATACAGTAAGTATATTGTAATTACAGTAACTGAGAGTAAGTATATTGCATGTAATATACAGTAAGTAATGATTTGCATATAATATACACAAATGCTACAGCATGGATGAATATTGTAAACATTATGCTAAGGAAAGAAGTCAGTCCTGAAGGCCAACTTTTTTTTAAAGATTTATTGATTTATGCATACAGAGCTGGGGTATAGGCTAGAGGTGCAGGGGCGGTGAGAGGGTTTACCAAAGGCAGACTGGGGAGAAGAACAGGCAGATCGAGGAAGTACACTGCTGAGGGGAGCAGTAGGTAAGACAGGAGAGGTCTGCCACGCCATGTGGGTCACCTCCAGGGCCGGGGATCGAACTTCCACTGAAGCTGCTATGACCACCTTGTGCCCTAACCCATTGCACCACCAGGGAGGGCCCTCGAAGGACAACATTTTATGGGTTCTGTTTACTTGAAATGTCCAGAATAGGCAAATCCATAGATATTAAAAATAGATCAGTGCTTTCCTGGGGCTGGAGGAAAAGGATGAAAGGGGGATGAGTAGGGATGGATCCAGGAATTCCTTTTCAAGTGATGAAATGAATCTGGAATTATATATTGGTAATGGTTGCACAATTGTGAACATATTAAACCCCATAGAATTGTATTTTTTGAAAGAGTAAGTTTTATGATTTGTTGACTACATCTCAAAAGAAAAAACCCTTCCTTTAAGATTTGTCCACCTAATAAGCCATTCGCATTCAATGAAGAATAGGGTATTGATTAAGCAGATTTTGATTTAGATTACTATGATCTAGCCACTATTGTAGGTGTTGGATATACATCAGTGAAGCAGAC